GCCATGACCGACCACAGCCTCATAATTAATCACAATAGTTTGTCTCCATTTTATTCAGAAACAGTGAAAGGTTCAGTCTGCTTCAGGTCAGTATCAGATCCTCCACAGCTGCTCTCCCCCCCCATAAGATGAGGTTTCTCTGATTGGACGAATGAATGTAAATGTAAACAGTGAAGGTCACAGACGAGACTGGTGAAGGCTTAACAGCCAACACACCTGATCAGAGTGCAACAAACTCTGTCATATTTAAAATATTCACCGCTTATTAACTGTTTATATTCTCAGTTAAGATGAAAACTATCATTAAGTTGATTTTATTCTGTAGTTGGAATCTTGATTATTTAACATGATTACTGATTAGCCAAAACAACATGCATTCAACCTAAAAAGTAACAGCATCTTTATGAGGGAGAATTTTAAATATCATTCAAATAAATAAATAAAAACTATAATCTTGAGGTGAGTCTAGGCGCAGAGTAGTGCCTGTTTGTGTCTGATTCAAACACCACTTCCTGCTGACAAGGCTCCACTGCAGGATGAGGGTTCAGGGTCAGGGTTAGGCCTAACCCAAAGAAGGCTGAGGACTGTGAATCACAGAAGATCTGCACAGGTGACTGCCTGCTATCACTTCCATTGCTAGATTCTTGGCTCTCCAGGGGCTTTCCTTCACCTCATAGATCATGTTGAATTCAGGCTTTGTTTTTGGTCATCTTGGCAGGAAGTAAAATAAACTATGACTGACACTGGATTTGGGGGGAGCAGTAACAATGCAGTTCTGTAAAGGAAATTAAATACAAGCTTCACAGTAAAAATGAGTGCAAAAAGAACATAAATATTTTATGACATATCTTCACAATCTTTAGAAACCAAAATCATAATCACTGAGCCCTTACCCATGCCTATTGTATTTATTTTCAAAGTTTTCTGCACTGATAAATAAGAACCAGCAGACAGAAACTGAAAGCTCAGAAACCTGAAAAGGTCAGCAGGCTAACAGATCAGGCTAACAGAGGGAAGCAAACATAATGAAGTAAAATCAGAAAATATTTACCTGTGAAATGTGGCAAGGTAGGAGTATGAGAAGAAAAAAACCCACTGAAATAACAAGAATAATAAAAAAAAGTGAGTATAAAACTATGTATCATCTGTAAATAGAAGCATTCACACAGTCTGAGACGAGGTCTGCTACTTTTCAGCTGAGGTAATCCAGACTGTACGCATTGGCCCTGGAAATGTTTGATTTCTGATCAAAGCCCAAAACATAATTTTTATTTAATAGCATAAAAGACCTATAATAAAACATAATTTGCAAATTTGACACTAATTTTATTTTAATATTGTTATACGTTTAAATGTCATATTCAGCTGTGAGAGCAGCGTAGTTCCACTCTATCAGCAGGTAACACAAAAGCAGTTATGAGGTGAAGAAGATGGATACAATTCCCTGGATTATAACACCACATGGCTGGCAGAAATACATTAATGTGATGGGATGGACAAACACATGTTTTAATCTTTAAATATTTTTAAATATTTATTTAAATCTTTATTTTAAAATCTGATGGCTTCTTTTGCATTAAGAGAGAAACTTTCATATTACAACAAATAATTTGACTTTCACAGTAAAAGCAGTGTAAAAACTGTCATTTTAGAAAACATTTTATGTCATTGAAAACAATAACAGTTGAATTCTGTCTCCATGATAACCTTCTTTAGTTTTGAACTCGTTTCCAGTTTGTTTGCAGGTGAGGACACCTGTTCATGCAGAGGAGCTTCTACAGGAGCTGAAGCTCCAATAAAGAGGTTATCGGTGAGCGAGGTCAGCGGCCCGGGCTGATAACAGATCATCTCCTCCATCACAGGTGCTCCTGCTGGAGCAGCACCTGCTTTAACACCTCCTCCTCCTCCTCTTCACACAGGATTGGTTAATGATTTCAGAGGCTGTCATTAAGCTGCTGTAGCACACACACCAGTTAGCAGTGAGAGTATTTCCTCTCTGACAGCTCTCAGAGAGCAGAGGAACGCTGCAGGAATCACAGCTGCACAATGTTTCCACTCAACCATGAATGTGCTTAAAGGGGGACTGCTCAGAGCGCCACCATCGCCACCACAGCTCATAATGGAGGATCCCAGGGCGCTCCTTATCACACGGCTCCAGGCAGCATTCAGGGAGATAAGGCTGCCATGTGTGGGAGCTGCGGCCCCCGGGACACATGTCCTTGTGTGTAATCTCTTGTAGTACACAGTCAACTGAGAGCCCGTCAATGGGCTCTTTATAAAGGTCGGCATACGCATTAGTCACGCATACAGACACGGAAAGATCAGGTGGAAGTCAACAGGTGAGTTGCAACAGGTTTGAGTTGGTTTCTGCTCGCTGCTTCTTGTTTTACAGAGAAAATATGATCAGTGTCACCTTCTGTCACCGAACATCTGTTTTTGTTTGAGTAGCTAAATAAGGAATTTAAAAAAAAAAGAAGAAGAAAAAACTGGTACAAAAATGATTCTTTGAAGCAGGGAGGGGATGAAAATCCAGACGTGCAGGAGAAACCCTGAAGCAAATGTTCCACAGTCCTGGAGATCCAAAGCTGGAAACACGAGGAACAACATGAACAGTCTGTTCTAAGTGTTTCTCTGGCCTTCAACTCAACGTGAGAACAAACTGGAGGTCATGTGATGCACACACAGCAGTATGGCAGGTGATTGGCTGTAAGAGTCACATGGTAATTTAATTCTGACGGAAAACGTTTCTGTTTTTTATGAACTTCTAACAGGCGTGACTCTAAAGGCTATAACCAGCATCTGGTTGGAAAGTTTATCACAGCCAGGCGTTGCAGAATCCGGCATAATATTCAGATTTTCAACTTTCTGCCTGTCCTTATACTAACCACATGCTGCATGTTTCCTTCATGAGAACACAAACTCTCAGCACAGTGATTTTGACCCCACTCTGACATTTGCCCTTTAACCTGCATCACTTTGATGTCATTCAAACACTTTTATGTCACACTGCAATTTCAAAATTCCAATATTGCGGTATTTTAAAAACACTGGACACATAAGAAATTAATAAATAAAACAAATCAGCCCATTGGCACTGGAGCCAATTATTCCATTTATTATTGTACTAATAAGGGGCTTCTTTCTATTGTTATATGTTGTATTACAGATATGTTAAAGGTGTTTAAGTGAAACCTGATGCAACTATCAGAGATTACTGTGGGTAAAAAAACAGAATGGGGCATTGTGGCGTTCCACAGGGCGCTATCATAGATCCTCTACTTTTCATTTACTTTTAAATTATATTCTTGTTTTTCAAAGCACAAAATATTTCCTCCTTCATGAAGCTCAGCTTTTAAAATTGTTTTAAGGCTTAAAGTTTGCATAATTAGAGGTGTGGCCTCTGATTGACAGGGGACTCTAGCTGCTAACTGTTTACTAGCTTCATTTGGAGCCTTTTGGAGGATTTTTAATTACATCATGTGGCCAATAATATGGCTGCTGTGAGGTTACTGTACTAACAGACTGTCCAAGAAGATGGAGCTCCAGGGTTGCTGAGTGAAATCAAGGATTTTAATTGGATATTGTTCCACAGCTGGAGTCCACAGACACCTTCAAACATCACTGTTATCTCACTGCTGCTAATGAGTCAGAACACTCAGTGAGGTGAGAATATCTCAGAAATGTCCTCCAAGCTTTTATTAGGGGACCTCAGGGTAATCTTTTACTGTCTCAGAGTAGGAAAAGGTTCATATTTGCATGGATTCCACTAGATTCAAAGATTAATTTCAGAAGGAAGGCTGTGTTTTCATAAATACAGACAGAAATTAGATTAAATATTTATTTTCCTGTTCGGTTTTGAGGCAGATTTGTCCAACTGAGTTTCATGTGCATAATTTAATGAGAAATGCACGAACCAAAGAGCCGTCTCACGTCAGTTTGAAACGCTCAACCTTTACTGTTTGAAGCAGACGACTGCTGGCCTTGATTGTTATTCAATAAAACTAAATACACCCCAATGCTAAAGCAAAGCACGCTTAGAGGCGGCTTCACGGTCCTGAACTTCAGAGCTGTGCCCTACGTAACAAAACCCACAAAAAAAGCAAACCTGACCCGCCTGTTGTTTATGAGGGGCCACCAACCAGAAGAAAGCTGAAAGAGCTTGTTTGAGGGCCTGTAGAGAGGCTCAGTTAGAGGTAAAGAAGGATTATTTTGAGCTGTGAATCATGCAAAGCTGCTCTGGAAGGCTCTAAGAAAAAACAAAGATGGAGCAGAAATATGAACAAAGATTTGATTTTGTTCATATTTAATGCATCAATAAATCACTGCATTTATCATCTCTGTTAGATTAGCACACTGAAGCCAGATGCTTCACCTGATCGCATGTACAGGTCACATGTCTGCCCATTGACTGCTGATTAATCGGCTCATTGTTGCAGCTCTCATGTGCCTGTTCGGGGTCCTGCCCCTCGTGTTGGGAACCTCAGCAATGCTCATCATCTCCTCTGTAACACACGTCGGAGCCTCCAATGATGGTCTTCTTCATTAACCAACCAATCAGCAGCCCTCAGACCTTGCCCTGCAGACACTGCTGTGCAGAAACGTCTGATATGTTTAATTCTCCAGGTTTTAAATATCATCAGCTGGATTTATTCATCTGTTAAATCTTCTCTAGCCAGCCAAAACATAAATTAAAACAGTGAAACCTGGACCATAAATCCAGACAATTATCAAAGAAAAGTGAAAAATTTAAAAATCTGGAACTCAAACTAAAAATGTTTTTGCTTAAACTCTATTTTCATAAACTCAAAGATTAAATTTCTTGGATGTGATACGCTCCAAAAAGTTTATTTCTGTGCCTCCATTTTTTCTGTGGCTTTATTTTGATTAAATTACATAGCAATTACTTTTAAAATAAAATTTACTTTTAAATGTTTATTTTTAAATTTTAATTACATTTGATTTTAATTTAACTTTAAAATACATCTTAATTTTACTTGCTTAAAAAAATTATGTTAATTGTTTTAAATTGCTGATGTAGCAGCTGCTGGAAGTGAGTGCCTTGTTGCTCTTCGTTCCTGTTAGATTAAGTTTAAAGTGCAGTAACATGTGAGAGTGTAGATTTCAGATCTGCCTGTAAAAGTCATGTTTCAGAAGCTGATGTTGATGCAGCCAGCAGAGATCTGAAACAGCCAATGAAAAAGGAGGAAATCCTTCACATCCTGCAGGAAACCATGTAAGGAGTTAATGAATGAAACGATCACAGATCAGAGAAAAATCCAGAGCGGCTCAGTTACATGTTACAGCAGTAATCTGACTATGTACACAGACAAGCTGTCTTTGAATACAGAACAAGTTTCAGCACAGAGGAGTTTTTTGTTTATATTTATTTCATGATTCCTGACGAGTCTCTTCCATCTCTGTCCAGATGCAAAAACAAACAAAATTATTTTATTTTATTTGTTATCGGTTTTAATATAAAATTTCTGGAATTTTTTGAAGAAAGGTTGGCTTGCAGCGAGCTTCAGGAGGAAAGCTCGATGATGACGGATGAAGATGAGGAACTGTGTTCAGGAAATCCAAACATCTGCTGAGGAAAATACATTTGAGCCTCCGGCAGCTTCTTCATCCATGGAAATGTCTCGAAGCCTCGTCCTCTATGACGCCAACCAGAAAAACCATTAAAACCATTAAAAGTGTCTCTGGCTGTGATGATGGAGGATGAAGGAGGAGGATGAGCCCCTGACAGCAGCTGGGGTCGATGTGAAGGTGTGAGAAGGCCGGCAGCTTCCCCGTCCATCAGATTGCTGACTGATTTCTCCTCATGTGTCGTGTTTGTACAACAAAAAGTTAAAAGATGATCTTCTAACAGGGGAAAAAAACTGCATGAAACATAAAATCATTCATCACTAAACAGCTGCAAACTAATCAATAAATCAATCGATTGGTTGGTTCTTCCAGCTTTATTACAAATACTCAATAATTTTTTTACATTTCAATCTTTTATTTTCTCTTTTGTTTCGTCTCATTTGGTCCATTAAAAATTAAACATTTTTCTTCCTGTTGAGAAGCTCCACAGAGGTGCCAAACACGAGGGGCTGGACCCCTGTGGGGCCTCAGATGCTCAGTGAAGGCCTGAAGTGCCACAGGTCCGAGTCAGGGCCGAATGAAGCTCCTCTGGGGCCTGAAATGTGACTCTGGGTCCCTCTGAGCCTCGCAGTAGCCCGAGCAGAACCCCACAAATGGAAGGATGAGAGCCGTTCAGCTGACAGGAAATCAATCCGCAGCAGATTTAATAAATAAAAGATGAAGATGTTTTTTGGTTTAAAAATAAAAAGCAGATGAAGACTAAATATTTTATGCTCTGTCAGTTTCATAAAATACACGGAAAAAAGAACATTTGGAATTGTTCATTAAAAATAATAATTAATAACTTTTCTCTGCTGGAAAATGATAGATTAAAAATGTAGTCCTTTTTTCTGTTATTCATCAGTTTCATTTTTGTAATTATTCATATCAGTTATTAAAGTAATGCTTGGTGCTGTGAAGGGTTCATGTAACCAAGCATTACTTTAATAATACTATCAAATAATAAAATCAGAAGCTCCACATAAGTGAGCTGATGTTCAGAGAACATCTGGATCCTTCAGCCAGGATGAGCCCAGCTGTGAGGAGGAGTCCGCGGGAGGAGCCCGGGATGAAGTCCTCACCGGCCTCTAGCTCGTTTTAAAGGGAGAGAGGAAGTGGAGCTCTGAGAGATGCTTATGGCCACCGATTCATCAAAACAAAGAAAAACGAGACAAACATCACTTCGGGACTTATTCTTCGTTTGTCTGGCTTATTCATTTATACTCAGCTGAGCACAAACAGCTGGAGTTGCACGAGGTCACGGCTTGAGCTGGACTCTAAATTTATAGGCTACCTCAGAAAAATGTTTAAACCATTTCCATCAACGAGTCAATTAATGGATTAATTCACCTCATTAATTACTGAAAGTCACACATTTTAAAACGATCCTTTAAAACGATTTAAAAAAATGTAAATAGAATAAAAGTGCATAAAAAGTCATCTGTATGTTCAGCCGGCCAGGAGCACCGAAACAACAGCGCCGTGGACACAATGACAGCATAATAATAATAATAATAATAATAATAATAATAATAATACATCAAATTATTATTATTAAAGATTTCAGCTTCAAGACCGCTACGATGGATTCAGACATTTAAAATTTATAAACACGGAAGTTCAGATCTCGCTCTCTTTGGCTTTCACAAATTATAATTTTAACAATAAATGAATGCTGCTCTGTGATAAGCTGACGGGGATTTAAAAAAAACCCGGTTCTTATGCTTTATTATTTTTGCCGCAGTTTTTCGTGTCTCGTCAGTTTTTCTCTGTTTCTGTTTGACACAGGAATTTATTATTCATCATAATTCGTCTGGATCAGCTGATCTCTGAGTCTGTCCTCAGATCTGCTGTGTGTTTCACGTTTAACATTTAATTCAAAAATAAAAATTCAGAAGCACAAAAAAGGAAAAATGACATTTGTTTCTTTACCTTGAGGAGAGAAAAATAAAAATAATTATAAATTATAAAATAAATAATAAGTTTTATAAATTTAGTCACGTGATAAAGAGTCATTAAAACGATTAAATTAATGTTTAGCATTAAAAATGAAAAACCAACTGAATGTGGGGAAAAGAAATCAGCGATCAAATCTCAGGAAGAATCCTCCGAGCTTCAGCTCGGACTTTATTTTTAACTACTTTTAAATATTATTTTCATATTTTCAGCGGCAGTTTAAAACGGAGTTCCTGTTGACTGAAATGTATCCCCATGTTCTGCGTTTTACGTGTAAAAATGTGCGAAAATATAATTTAGACTGAGAAGAAGAGAGCACAGAGCTGCATTAAAACATGCCGGAGACGAAAAAAACAAAACAAAACTGAAAAACAGGATTCAAAGTCATTAACGTTCATATCCGCTCTTTAATTATTATCCTAAATGTATAAAATATTTCCAGAAAAACAAAAAACTCGACCCCGCGTTAGAATCACAGAATTAAAATTCATCAGCTGAGCGCTGATCAGGAAACAGAACTCGGATTTAATTGAGCGGTGGCGAGGGTGGTGTTACCGCTGAGGGTGGTGTTACCCGGGAGCGCGGACTGGTCGGGACTGAAGCCGGGACAGAGCAACGTGCAGCCGGGTGTGACTGCTCACAAACACCGACAGCCGAAGGAGAGAAAAAGCCCCCCAAAACTACAAAATCGTCCATGTTTTCTGCGTGATTTCAGCCGGGTTTAAAAAGGAAATCCAGAATCCGCCTCAGATGAAGCCGAGCATCAGCGACACAAAGCAAACACCTGCAGTTCTTTTTTTATTCAATAAAAGTGCATTACATGAGCCTGCGGGGTACACAACTGCGCAGACGCAACTCACAACCCAGAACATATAAATAAAATGTGCGCGAGCAGAAAAAAAACAATAATAAAAAAATGTAAATGTTTGCGCCGTTTGTGTCTGTACACGTGCTGCGTTCATGGTCTCCTCCTGAGAGGCCTTCAAGGAGCCGCAGCGGGGTGGTGTTGGTGGTGGGAAAGGGGTGGGGGTTAAACCCAAATGAAAAGTAGAAAAACATTAAATTTAAATATTCACATTTCTATCCACTCACTCATATTTACAGTCCGCTCCGGCCCGCAGGTAAAAACCAGTCTGTCGTTCAGGTAAGCTCACGTGACTTCAGCTGAGTTCGGACTTCCGGTCCGGTTAGGAGCTGTCCGTGTCGGGCGCGTGCAACAGCAGCGCGGAGCTCGCGGGCTTGTGTTTCTTGAGCAGCTGTGTGATTTTCTCGTCGTCGGAGTTCGGGTCCAGCGGCTTGTTGTACTCGTCGTCCTCGTCTTCGTTGTCCGAAGTGCCCTTGAGCCGCTCCGTCTCAGAGTCCTGCTTCTTCTTGGCGGAGGCCATCTCTGCCGCGTGCTTCTTCCGCCACTTCGTCCTCCGGTTCTGGAACCACACCTGCGGCGGCGGCACACACAGAAGCCCACTCACATTTCGGATGATTTAGCTTTTATTATTTAAAGCTAAGACAGGAAACAGTCCCAGTTTTCACATTTAAATTCCTACAGAAACCAATACAGGCGACTAAACGGCAGCTTATTAAATATGAGAAACTTTATTTATAAAGGCAGATTTAAACTGTGACAGGTTAAGTCATCATTCTTTCTATAATTAATTTTCCTCTTTTGAACTCAGATTTAATTAAAAACACGTATTCTGACCCGATGCATGTAAAAGGTTAAAATTGTGAGCTAAAGCTCAAAAATAATAACTTACCTAAACCTAAAAATAAGATATAAGTTACAAGATAAATAACTTAAAACAACGTACACATGATTGTTAAAAAATGTTTTTGCTTCAAATTAATTAAATAATTTTATTGTGAGACAGGAAAATTAAAACCTGAATTTTAGCTGAAAAACGTGGATTCAAGCCCGCTTTACAAAGAGTGCGAAAGGAAAAACCCCTGATATAATGATTGATGAATTCTCTGCGATTTACCCACAAACACAGTGAAAGTTCCGTTTGTGGAAGCAGACGGGTAAGCAGCAGCACATATTGAAATAGGGGTGTCGGTTACCTTGACCTGGCTCTCGGTCATGCCCAGGGAGTAGGCCAGCCGGGCTCTCTCGGGGCCCGCCAGATATTTCGTTTGTTCGAAAGTTTTTTCCAGGGCGAAGATCTGCTGCCCGGAGAACGTGGGCCGCGTGTGCTTCCGTTTGCCGTCTTTGTCCAATAAGACAGAGCTCTGATCTGAAACGAGAGGCCGACACAGACATTCAGTACACACAGCCCATAGCCTGCTTCTATTCTGTTCTATTATTTTATTGTACGTCATGTTTCTGGGATCTAACACTTGTTTTCCACTCACGGGGCGAGCACGCGAACCTAGCGTCCCTCCAGTGGGGGCTCTGCATCACCCCCGGCCAGAAGATGGGCGTCCTGCCTGGCAGGTCCGCCAGGGGCTTCGGGTACCGGGCCACGGCCACGGCGGCCGCGGAGGGGCTGAAGTAGAGCCCGGGGGGAGGCGGCGGGCTGAGGCTGCTGAACCTGGGCAGACCCGTCAGGATCCCCGCGGAGGAGGAGGCGGAGGCCCCGGCGGAGGTGGCGCAGGGCCGGTTCAGGATGTCGTTAATTCCGTGCGGGGTGGCAGAGGAGCACTGTTGCGGGGAGCCGAGCCCGGAGGACGGGCCGGTGGAGCTCTTGATGCCCGGGGAGGCTGCGGCCATGCCGCCCGGGTTCGGGGAGGTGGTAGCCGGTGAGGTAGAGGAGGCGGGGCCACCGGAGGAGAGCGGGTAGGCCGGGTACAGCGGGGTCTTCATCTCGGTCATGCTATGCAGAGCAGCCAGGGGGGGCGTGCTGAGGAGGAAGGCGCTCTGACGGGACCCGTCCATCGGACCCGCCGCTAACATCCCCCCGGGGGGCGGGCCGGGCTCTGCGGGCAGGGGCGCGCACTAACGCCGCTCTGAGCCCATCCCGGGCCGCTCTGCGCTCTAATCCCACCACGGTCCTCTATGCAGACAGCCTGAGTCCAGCTCCGAGTCCCGGATAGGCACCAGGCGCACGCGCTGCTTCCGCCCGCGAGTTGCGTGAGATAATAACAGCTGATCATCCGCGCGAGACTATCAGCCCCAAGTTAGAGAGGAGGGAGAACAGGGGGACGGGGAGGGGGGCTGAAGACGGGCAGGGGTGGTCTCTCCGGATTGGTTAACCTGGGGGTGACGTAGACGTTCCCGGTTCAGGAGGGCCTCGTGATTGGCTGAGCAGAAATGAGATGAGTGATGGGAAATAAAAAAATGTGAAGAAAGAGAAAAACGAGAATTTAAAGGTCAGAGACAAAAGTATGATTTAAATAATCAGAGGAGCAAAACCAGGTCGGTTATTAAAACAAAATAAAATGAGGTAAAAAGAAATGAAATAAAGTAAAATAAAATAAAGTCAAATAGTGGAAATTAAAATGCATGAAAAAAAAATTAAACACATTCTGCTTTTGTGATTGAAATAATAAACATGATTTCAGTCACGCTTTACTGTTTAATAAAATATACTAAAATTTGTCTTAATAAATGAAAATATTTTTTAATCATTTTAAATCTAAACAGACAAACACTAGCCAGCAGGGGGCGCTGCAATAGCAACGCTTATATTTCGGAGGAATCACCAAGAACATTAAATTCATTTTATAATAATTATCCACATGACTCTGATTTCATGGAAAGGAAAGTGCTGCTTGATGGTTTGATGCCACTTTGTAGAATAGAATAGATGAACAGAAGAATCCTTTAATTGTCCCACAAGGGGAAATTTGGTTACAACAGCAACAAAAAAAGAAGAAGAAAAGAAATGCACATACAAACAAACAAACAAACAAACAAACAAACAAACAAACAAACAAACAACAGTGTTTCCAGAACTGTTTTTTGGTTGATTCAAATTAATGCGTTAAACTTAATTCATACATTTTTAGGTTAATTATTGTATAATCTTTGAGTTTATTTATAATAACATTTACTAAATTAAATCTGTACAAACTGCTTAACTTAAAATTAATTAGAGCGCTCTTACTTTGATATAAAATATTAAATGTGTCTGACTTCTCCTGAATTCTTAAAACAAACAGTTTAATATAACGCTTCATTGTTATGCTGACACTGCTTTTTTGCAAGAAGTAAAGCTGACCTTTGTTTATTTATTATGTATTAGCTTTAGTTTGTCTGTAATTGAATAAGTTGCTGTTACTTTCAGTTAACGTAAGAATGGTGAGTTAAAGATGATCGGTCACACAGCTTTACATTTAGAAATAAAAGTTTAGCAAATTTTATTAAAGATAAAGTCAGTAAATGTTTAAGGGTCAAGATTTCTTTTAAAATTCAGAGGGCTCAGATTGCGTTGCGTTCATGTGCCCTGTACACCGCACGGATAAATGACCGCTGGTTTTATAAACAGTTTAACATCCAGCAGGTCACTGAGGACCAAATCCAATTTTGTGGGGCAAATCTTAGTAGCTGGGACAGTTTATCCATAACAACACACACAGACCAGAAGATTAATCAAACTAAAGGTTTAAAGGAAAGGCTGGATTTTATTTAATTTCTATTTTTAAAAACTTCTTATAAACGTAAATGGAAGCTAAAGTGTATTTTTATAACTGCAAAATGAAGTTAATTCGTTTTTTCCAGAGGAACATTTGAACATTATCATTTTAAACAATAAAGATTATTAACAGCGCACACACAGAAAAAACAAAAACAACAACAACTGTAAAATACAGTGTAAACAGTTTTAAAATGAACATTTTTTCATGTTATTATTATTTTAAAAATTATTTTCCATATTTTCTGTTTTTTTTAAACTACACGTTAAATTTTTCAATTTTACAGAAACCTCCACACCCCCCCCCCCCCGCCCCTTTTTTTCTTTTTTTTTACAGTGTAATTCATGCATGAAATGAACGAACAAATAAATTCTGAGAGTGGCAGCCTCGACCGTCGGGCTGTGGATCAGACCTAAGAGGAACGTGTTTGTGTTTCAGCTCTAAACTAAAAACAATCTGAGATAAAAACCCTGCAGGTCAAACATGAGCTCAGCCTCTGTAAACATCTGGACGGTTAGTCACAAAGATCTGAGTCATTTCCTGTCTTAAGTTCTCCGCTTTAATTTAATCTCTTCAAACTTTCTCATGACCGCTCAAAATTTCCTTGTGACCCTTTACGGGGACTCGAGCCCTGGGTTTGGAACTCATTTCAGGCTTTTATTTTGAAGGAAATATTGGAAATTTGAAAAGCTGCAGCATAAAAAAGTGCAGCAGGTCCTTCTGGGGGATCATGAAAAGACGTTTTTTTAACACTCATTTACTGCTGATTTTCTATTTATTCGCTTCATCATCCACAAACAATTAATAATCAATGATAATGATGTTCACCTCTAATATAATTACTGAGGTGAAAATATGATCATTTATAATATATTATTAATATATTATCTTTCTCTCTTTTTTTTGGAATACCTGTTGTTGTCGTTGAAACAAAATAAACCCCTCCCTATGGCAGATGTGGGGCAGATTTTCCTATTTGTTCCTCTAACATGTAAATGTGACAGAGCCAGAAACAAATGAGTCACAGAAAACAGTAACAGGAAGTGATGTCACACCCAGCCCTAGATTTGACCTCTCAGGCTACACTGCAGCCTGCAACTAAGGAAAAATTAGGCTTCATTAGTTTTTAATTAGTAAATTAATTAAATCTAGCAGGTCTTCGGTGATAAATAAGAATAAAAAACTAATAAAGTAAAAAAAAATCTGTTTTATTGCTTCCATTTTCCTAAACTTCAAACCTCTGCTCCTGTATAGAACCGGATGGAGTGATGACATCACAGCTGATCATTAATAACACAAAACATGGAAAATATGAAGCACTGCTTGATTCGGGTTACTTTAGTTTAGATGTAATAGATTACTTTGAGTCCTTTTAAGTTCACCCACTGTTACCACAGTACAAAGACATAATACTGCTGCTAATAACAGTAATTAAATAATGTTTTGAAAATCCTTTAAATCAACAAACGATTTTGTTTTTAAATCTTTGAATCTTTGAGAAAATGTGTTATTGATTACAATAAACTACTAATAATTAATAATAATATTTCAGGCTCGATGCATTTATGCGAATAAAAAATTTAACTCGACAGACCTCAGATTGATTCTATTTATAAGTTTATTGATTTTGTATTTTTGATAAGAGAATTGTTGGAGAGAAATAACAAAGTAATCTGGAGCAGCTGGACAGATTAAATTATGGTGTTGTGTTATGATGATGATCAGGAAGATGCTTCAACCTGCTGAAAGAGACTGAAACACAAAATCAGCAGTGCGCAGGCGCCCCCCTCTGGTCAGACTGTGTCAGCACACGGGGTTCATTTTATACACGTGCCTTGTAATCAGCTTAATGAGACTACCTGTATGAAAATCCTACAGTGTTGAAGACATATGTGTAAATCCTGGAAACATGAAGTCAGCCGAGTTCACAACCAGCAGCTGCAGTTTAGTGTTTATGAGTTTATGAACGTGTCACAGAAACACTGATAGAGACTGGACGGAGCCTTCTCTTTGACTTCACTGAGCTCAGCTTTACACTCGCACAAAGATTTAATCCCACAGTGAAACTAAATAAACACCTTTGAAGAGTTGTTTGCATTATTTTATAATAAATCACAGTGATCAGCTGTGTCACTGTTTCTCAGACTGTGGGACCTACAAGATTTCAATTCAGTTTTATTTATATATCATCAAATCACAGCAACATAACTCACAACACAGCAACATAACTAAGGAAGGATTCAGGGTCACGTGGTCCAGCCTATAACTATATGCTCTACCAAACAGAACATTTGAAGCCTAATCTTAGAAGTAGAGATAGTGTCTGTCTCCTGAATCCAGCCTGGAAGCTGGTTCCATAGTAGAGGGGCCTGAAAACTGAAGGCTCTCCCTCCCAGTCTACTTTTAAATACTCTAGGAACAACAAGTGAGCCTGCAGTGTGAGAGCGAAGTGCTCTAATAGGGTGATATGGTACTACAAGGTCATTAAGATAAGATGGGGCCTGATTATTTAAGACCTTGTATGTGAGGAGCAGGATTTTGAATTCAGTTCTGGATTTAACAGGAAGCCAATGAAGTGAAGCCAATACAGGAGAAATATGCTCTCTCTTTCTAGTCCCTGTCAGTACTCTTGCTGCAGCATTTTGGATTAACTGAAGGTTTTTCAGGGAGTTTTTAGGACATCCTGATAATAATGAATTACACTAGTTCATGTCCCTAGAACAACACTCTCGCCAGTTAATTAGGAACTGCCTTTTTCAGCTAAGAAACATCTCCAAACTGCGAACTTTGTTGTCTAAATCTGAGTTAGAAATGGTTATTCATACTTTTAATTCATCTCGCTTAGATTATTGTAACAGCCTTTTTCTTTGTTTGAGCAAAAGGAATCTTGACCGTCTCCAGTTAGTCCAGAATGCTGCTGCAAGGCTTTTAACTAAGACACGAAAAAGAGAGCACATTACACCAGATTTACGTTCATTACACTGGCTTCCAGTACATTTTAGAATTCATTTTAAAATCTTGGTACTGACTTTTAAAGCTTTGAATTGTGATGCCCCTGCTTACATTTCTGATCTGTTAGAACCCCATGCTCCCTCTCGCAGCCTGAGATCTTCTAATCAAAGGCTGTTGGTAGTCCCACAAACTCTTTTTAAGACTAGAGGTGATAGCGGTGGCCCCCAGGTTGTGGAATGCTCTCCCTCCATCATTACGTTGCCTTGATTGTATTTATTCTTTTAAAAAGCAGCTTAAGACTCATTTATTTAGATTGGCTTTTAATTAGATTTGTGCTGTGTGTTTTATTATTGATGTATTTTATGTATTTCTTTTTTATATTACTGTGAAGCACTTTGTGGTTTTTATCCTGTGAAAAGTGCTATATAAATAAATTGATTTGATTTGATTTCAGCCTAGAAGTAATAAATGCATGAACTAGTTTTTCAGCATCACTCTGAGACAGGATATTTCTAATTTTAAAGATGTTGCGCAAATGGAAGAAAGAAGTCCAACATATTTGTTAAATATGTGCATTGAAGGACATATCCTGGTCAAAAATCACTCCAAGGTTCCTCACAGTGTTACTGGAGGCCAAAGCAATGTCATCCAGAGTAAGAATCTGTATAGCAGTGAAAATGTATGCTATGCCTACGGGATAGTATACAACAATATTGCCTAAGGGAAGCATGTATAATGTAAACAGAACTGGTTCTAGTACTGAACCCTGTGGAACTCCATAATTAACCGCAGTGTGTGAAGAACATTCTCTATATACATGAACAAATTGGAGTCTATTAGATACAGTGGCTTGCAAAAGTATTCAGCCCCCTTGAACTTTTCCACATTTTGTCACATTACAGCCACAAACATGAATCGATTTTATTGGAATTCCACGTGAAAGACCAACACAAAGTGGTGTACACGTGAGAAGTGGAATGAAAATCATACATGATTCCAAACATTTCTTACAAATAAATAACTGAAAAGTGGGGTGTGCGTAATTATTCAGCCCCCTTTGGTCTGAGTGCAGTCAGTTGCCCATAGACATTGCCTGATGAGAGCTAATGACTAAACAGAGTGCACCTGTGTGTGATCTAATGTCAGTACAAATACAGCTGCTCTGTGACGGCCTCAGAGGTTGTCTAAGAGAATATTGGGAGCAACAACACCATGAAGTCCAAAGAACACGCCAGACAGGTCAGGGATAAAGTTATTGAGAAATTTAAAGCAGGCTTAGGCTACAAAAAGATTTCCCAAGGCTTGAACATCCCACAGAGCAGTGCTCAAGCAATCGTTCAGAAATGGAAGGAGTATGGCACAACTGTAAACCTACCAAGACAAGGCAGTCCTGTCATGGTCCTGAGCCATGTTGGCCCAGTATTCTTAGTTTTCGTGTGTTTTGTATTTTGTTCCTTATTTATGCCTTGGTCCCTAGGTTGTTCTGTTAAGATGTTCCTTATTTGATGCCCTTATTTGTGTGCCCCTCTATGTATCTGTGAGCCCTCGTTTCCCCTCCTTGTGTTTTATTCCATGTTTTCCCCAGCCCGTTATGTCTGTGCTCTCCCTGTGCTCTCTCTCCTCCTGTCTGAACCTCTGTGTACTTCCTGTTTTACAGTCTCTCGTCAGTATGCGTCATGTTGTGTTCACTCCTGCCCTGTCTCATTATGATTATCTGTGTCAGCTGTGTTTCCCGTGTGCTCCCACTTCCCTCATTAACCCTCTGTGTATTTATGTCCGCGTCTCCCTCAGTTCAGTGTCGTGTTCTCCCTCATGACTGTGTGCCCTTCCGTGTGTTTCCTCATGAGTCAGTTCCTTTATGACTTCCCAGTTTAGTTTCATATTATTTTGCATCGTCTTAACTTCCGTCAGCAATAAAGCTGTTTTGAGTTCATTCCTGCCTCCGTGTGCTTGCGTTTGGGTCCTCATCCTGCCTGCACACAGCCTATTCATGACACGTCCACCTAAACTCACAGGACGAACAAGGAGAGCGCTGATCAGAAATGCAGCCAAGAGGCCCATGGTGACTCTGGACGAGCTGCAGAGATCTACAGCTCAGGTGGGGGAATCTGTCTATAGGACAACTATTAGTGCACAAAGTTGGCCTTTATGGAAGAGTGGCAAGAAGAAAGCCATTGTTAACAGAAAACCATAAGAAGTCCCGTTTGCAGTTTGCCACAAGCCATGTGGGGGACACAGCAAACATGTGGAAGAAGGTGCTCTGGTCAGATGAGACCAAAATGGAACTTTTTGGCCAAAATACAAAACGCTATGTGTGGCGGGAAACTAACACTGCACATCACTCTGAACACACCATCCCCACTGTCAAATATGGTGGTGGCAGCATCATGCTCTGGGGGTGCTTCTCTTCAGCAGGGACAGGGAAGCTGGTCAGAGTTGATGGGAAGATGGATGGAGCCAAATACAGGGCAATCTTGGAAGAAAACCTGTCTGCAAAAGACTTGAGACTGGGGCAGAGGTTCACCTTCCAGCAGGACAACGACCCTAAACATAAAGCCAGGGCAACAATGGAAGGATTTAAAACAAAACACATCCATGTGTTAGAATGGCCCAGTCAAAGTCCAGATCTAAATCCAATCGAGAACCTGTGGCAAGATCTGAAAACTGCTGTTCACAAACGCTGTCCATCTAATCTGACTGAGCTTGAGCTGCTTTCCAAAGAAGAATGGGCAAGGATTTCAGTCTGTAGATGTGCAAAGCTGGTAGAGACATTGCAATGGAATCCAATAAATCTCCAATAAAATTGATTCATGTTTGTGGCTGTAATGTGACAAAATGTGGAAAAGTTCAAGGGGCCGAATACTTTTGCAAGCCACTGTAGATATGATACAAACCACTGCAGCGCAGTACCTGTAATACCTACAGCATGTTCTAATCGCTCTAATAGGATATTATGGTCGACAGTATCGAATGCTGCACTAAGGTCTAGCAGGACAAGCACAGAGATGAGTCCACTGTCAGAGGCCATAAGAAGATCATTTGTAACCTTCACTAAAGCTGTTTCTGTCTGTGATGAGCTCTAAAACCTGACTGAAACTCTTCAAATAAACCATTCCTCTGCAGTTGATCAGTTAGCTGTTTAACAACTACTCTTTCAAGGATTTTTGAGATGAAAGGAAGGTTGGAGATTGGCCTTTAATTACCTAAGTTGCTGGGTCAAGAGATGGATTTTTAAGTAACGGTTTAAGGCCTGTGGTACACAGCCGATTATAAGAGATGTGTTGATCATATTAAAGATCCATCCATCTATCCATTTTATTCCACTTATCCGGGGCCGGGTCGCGGGGGCAGCAGCCCAAGCAGAAAAGCCCAGACCTCCCTCTCCCCAGCCACTTCCTCCAGCTTGTCCGGGGGAACACTGAGGCGTTCACAGGCCAGCCGAGAGATAAAATCTTTCCAGCATATCCTGGGTCTGCCCCGGGTCCTCCCGGTGGGAAATGCCCGGAACACCCCACCCAGGAGGCATCGTTGTCAGATGCCTGAACCACCTCAACTGGCTTCTTTCGATGTGGTGGAGGAGCAGCGGTTCTACTCTGAGCCCCTCTCGAATAGCTGAACCTCTCACCCTATCTCTGAGGGAGAGGCCAGCCACCCTTTGGAGGAAGCCCATTTCCAACACTTGTATCCGCAATCTCATTCTTTCGGTCACTACCCACAGCTCGTGACCATAAGTGAGGGTAGGGACGTAGATCGACCGGTAAATTGAGAGCTTTGCTTTTACGCTCAGCTCTCTCTGCACCACAACAGACCGGTGCAGCGTGCGCATCACTGCAGCTGCAGCACCAATCCGTCTGTCGATCTCCCGCTCCCTTCTCCCATCCCTCGTGAACAAGACCCTGAGATACTTAAACTCCTCAACTTGGGGCAGAAACTCGTCCTGACCTGGAGTGGGCACTCCACCCTTTTCTGGCTGAGGACATTGGTCTCAGATTTGCTGATTCTCATTCCCACCGCTTCACAGTCAGCTGCGAACCATTCCAAGGTGAGCTAGAGGCCAGAAAGCTGGAGGCTTCAATTAATTAATGGCAGGACTTCTTTTAGCACTGTTGTAGGAATGGGGTGTAAAATCAGTGTTGGGGATTAACGAAATACATGTACCGGCATTACGTATTTAAAATACAACATTTGAGTAACTGTATTCCGTTACGTTACCATTTGGAAAAGGTGGTATTCAGAATACAGTTACTTTGTTGAAATAAATAGATTACACTGCGGGTTTTTTTTCTTCCTGTTTCATATGTTAGGCTGTCCCCTCTCTATTCTTGGTAATGGACTACTTGCACTACGGCATGTGACGTATTTCCGTTTCCAAATACTACCGCTTGGGCGTTTCCGGTATGTTTGTTTATCTATCGGTAGCTATGCTAACGTCACTTCAGAATGAGTATAAAAAGGAAAGTATTTAAAACAGAATATTTTCAAAAACAGCAGAAGAAATACTCCGAGCATTGCTGTGTCCCACTTTGTTCGGCTTCAGCCAAATTTAACGGCATACTAAGTTTTCATGGTGTTCCGACCCATTCTGACTTGAGAAGACAATGGCTGGTAAACATACATCATTTCACAATTACCTCTCACACCAGGGTCTGCAGCAGACATTTCGCCAGTGATCAACTCATAGAGCCAACAACCCTTGATGGTCGAAGGAGGCTTATTAAAGGTGCTGTACCAACACTTTTTGAGTGGAATGGCTATAAAGTTGAACCACCGCGGCGTAGTGTTTGGGAGAGAACGGAGCGACGCCTTGAACTAGTTCCTCCTGACGATCAAGAAGAGCAAAGTCTTACAAGAGATCATGACTACTGCTCAGTCCCTGAGCCGTCTGCATTGGACATATCTGCATCAGCTGCAGAAGACCTGTCCAAAGACGTGGAGACTCTGAGGAAGGAAATACAGGAGTTACGTGTCCAGCGAGAATTTGGGTTACAGCGTTTTGCTGGCTCCGACACTGACATCCGATTCTATACCAGGTACACCTAAGTTCTATTCAAGCTAACTGTTTAAAATATACCAAGGTCACCATCAGTTAAATTTAGAAAGTGTTTCCAGTCTTAATGAAACACAATAGAAATGTACTTTTTCTCTGCTGATTGTATGTTTCATGTAGATGCTTTAGTATTTAAACGATATCCTAATGCTACAGGTAAAATACAACACCAAATAGACTCTTAATCAGACTATGTTATACAGCATACCATTAGCATATTTGTCACAGTTTATATTATTTTTATGTCAGTGTGTAATGTTAATTAATGATTGACACGATGTATGTCTCTCTCGTGAATAGATTTCCAAGCTATGATCATTTGATGGCATTTTGGTTTTTGATTGAGCCTTGCATCTATAAAATGATCCAGGTTTCAAGAGCCAAGTCAGCTGCCAATAGGAACGAAGAAGTGTTGACACGTGCACGCACATCAACAGTAGGTTATGGGTTTGTTGGTAGTTAGAACTAGAGGTGTAATTTTAATGTATTTATGTACAATAACATTACATTATGTACAATAGCATGTATGCTAAAGGACTCAGCATCCTTTACATACATACACCTGTGTACTACAGCACCTCATTGTTTACCCCATAGTACGGTATGGTATGCATAACCATTACAAAACATTTAGCCAAGAAAAGCGTAATTTTACTACAGGGAGTGCAGAATTATTAGGCAAATGAGTATTTTGTCCACATCATCCTCTTCATGCGTGTTGTCTTACTCCAAGCTGTATAGGCTCGAAAGCCTACTACCAATTAAGCATATTAGGTGATGTGCATCTCTGTAATGAGAAGGGGTGTGGTCTAATGACATCAACACCCTGTATCAGGTGTGCATAATTATTAGGCAACGTCCTTTCCTTTGGCAAAATGGGTCAAAAGAAGGACTTGACAGGCTCAGAAAAGTCAAAAATAGTGAGATATCTTGCAGAGGGATGCAGCAGTCTCAAAATTGCAAAGCTTCTGAAGCGTGATCATCGAACAATCAAGCGTTTCATTCAAAATAGTCAACAGGGTCGCAAGAAGCGTGTGGAAAAACCAAGGCGCAAAATAACTGCCCATGAACTGAGAAAAGTCAAGCGTGCAGCTGCCAAGATGCCACTTGCCACCAGTTTGGCCATATTTCAGAGCTGCAACATCACTGGAGTGCCCAAAAGCACAAGGTGTGCAATACTCAGAGACATGGCCAAGGTAAGAAAGGCTGAAAGACGACCACCACTGAACAAGACACACAAGCTGAAACGTCAAGACTGGGCCAAGAAATATCTCAAGACTGATTTTTCTAAGGTTTTATGGACTGATGAAATGAGAGTGAGTCTTGATGGGCCAGATGGATGGGCCCGTGGCTGGATTGGTAAAGGGCAGAGAGCTCCAGTCCGACTCAGACGCCAGCAAGGTGGAGGTGGAGTACTGGTTTGGGCTGGTATCATCAAAGATGAGCTTGTGGGGCCTTTTCGGGTTGAGGATGGAGTCAAGCTCAACTCCCAGTCCTACTGCCAGTTTCTGGAAGACACCTTCTTCAAGCAGTGGTACAGGAAGAAGTCTGCATCCTTCAAGAAAAACATGATTTTCATGCAGGACAATGCTCCATCACACGCGTCCAAGTACTCCACAGCGTGGCTGGCAAGAAAGGGTATAAAAGAAGAAAAACTAATGACATGGCCACCTTGTTCACCTGATCTGAACCCCATTGAGAACCTGTGGTCCATCATCAAATGTGAGATTTACAAGGAGGGAAAACAGTACACCTCTCTGAACAGTGTCTGGGAGGCTGTGGTTGCTGCTGCACGCAATGTTGATGGTGAACAGATCAAAACACTGACAGAATCCATGGATGGCAGGCTTCTGAGTGTCCTTGCAAAGAAAGGTGGCTATATTGGTCGCTGGTTTGTTTTTGTTTTGTTTTTGAATGTCAGAAATGTATATTTGTGAATGTGGAGATGTTATATTGGTTTCACTGGTAAAAATAAATGATTGAAATGGGTATATATTTGTTTTTTGTTAAGTTGCCTAATAATTATGCACAGTAATAGTCACCTGCACACAGATATCCCCCTAAAATAGCTAAAACTAAAAACTACTTCCAAAAACATTCAGCTTTGATATTAATGAGTTTTTTGGGTTCATTGAGAACATGGTTGTTGTTCAATAATAAAATTATTCCTCAAAAATACAACTTGCCTAATAATTCTGCACTCCCTATAGTTCATAGCTTAAGGAGTAACACTTTCCCTTTTGTTTTCACCTTTCAGAGGCAGCTGCTACAGCCAATTGACGAGTTCTTTCTTTTCCTGGTTTTCCTGTCAGTTGGTTTGAAGGAGAGGGACCTGGCACATCGATTTAGCATACACCAGTCCACAGTGAGCCGCATTATTGCAACATGGACAATTTTTCTTGCCACTGCACTGGGGTCTCAATGCATCTGGCTTACATGTGCAGACGCGCTACCTCTCTGAGGAATTCAAAGATTTCTCAGACACCCAGATGATCCTTGACTGTACAGAGCTGAGGTGTCAGACACCATTCTCACCACTTCTCCAAAGTGAAATGTACTCTTCGTACAAATCCCACTGTACGATGAAAGCCCTGGTTGGCATAGCTCCACATGGTCCAGTGACATTCATCTCTAATCTGTATGCTGGTTCGGTTAGTGACAAGGAACTATTCAAACAATCAGGCATTGCTGAGAAGTTGACTGAAGACATGGCAGTGATGGTAGATAAGGGCTTCCTAATCACAGATTGTTGTAAATGCAAAGTGTACTGCCCACCTTTTCTATCTAAGCAGAAGCAGATGCCAGCATACCAGGTTAAGGAGACGCAGGCCATAGCCAGACTCAGGGTGCATGTGGAGCGAGTCATTAGGAGGATAAAACAGAACAAACTTTTTGATAGCATCATTACCATGTCACATGTTTACAATATCAACCAACTGTTTGCAGTAGCATGTATGCTGTCAAATTACCAGAACACAGCATTAGTTAAAAAAATGGGTTAAGTGAGACAAGATGGATTTTTCCCAAGACACCAGTGCCAGTACCAGGAACTTATGGAAAATGACCTGCAGCTGAGGCCACTACAGTTGCATTTCTTCCTTGACAATACTTGATTACAGAACTGGTACTTGAGTGCTGATAGTTGAGTTCCAGTTATTGTTAATTCTAACTCATTGCAAATGTTGAATGTTAATAATACTGTTTAATTATACTACTATATTACTACTCAGTCAACAAAATTGTAGTTAAATCACTAAATCGTCAGAGAATCACATTTGCTCAACACCTGCCACAGGTGGATGAACCCGAATGCTGCTTCAATACCTCAACTCTTTACGCTCATTGTTATTGTTATAAACAGCTGCACTCACAGTTCAGACCCTCACTGTGGCATTAATATTTATGTTTATTGTAAACTTTTATTCTGCATCTGCTGCTGGAATATCATTTTCAGCTCTGTGAAGTACATGTCCAGTAAAACAAAAGATAACTTGATTTTAATCGTTCAGGGTTGTAAACAGGTCACAGTAGGCTTAAGGTCTTTTATTTTGAAAAGCACAGAGAGGAATAACCCATCAGCTGCTAAAGCAGCAGCTGAGGTTTATTTTGAAGGAGGAACATTGCTTTCAGGTATGCTTGGTGAAAGAAACGAGTCCGAGTCTTCTCTCATAACAAGTTTCAGGTTTATTAGAATTTTACTCGCGTGCCATCAGCTTCTGCTTCTTCAGCTTCTTCTGTGAAACCTGCAGAGAGAAGAGAGAGGCAGAGTTATGACATCATCGATCAGAGAGTTTGCACCGCTGCCTTGGCCAACAGTCGCTCAGTTTTAACAGGGTTGTTTTCATGGAGAATCCAAAGGTGTCCTAAGGAGTCATCACTGCGACAGATGATGAAGAGGAGGAAGGTGACGGGTTCAGATGTGCAGCCAGAGGAGCAGGATTCACTGTGTTTGCTGTGGCATTCATGGGACCTTCAGTAAAAGGGAAATCACAGCTCTCCAGGTCCCAAGAGACTAAGCCAACTTTAATTCCCCTAACCTCGCTCCGTGCTGCATGTTTGAAGCCCCACCCCTCGCTCTTCCCTCTCCACGTTCTCACCTTTTTCTTCTGGGCGACCTCCTCCTCGGGCTTGGGGACGATCTGCTCCTTTTCTGTCAGGATCATCTCAATGTGGCACGGCGAGCTCATGTAGGGGTTGATGCGGCCGTGGGCGCGGTACGTACGCCTCCTCATCTTTGGCGCCTTGTTTACCTGGATGTGCTCAATGACCAGAGAGTCCACGTCCAGACCCTGAAAGCACAAACACGGGTCAGAACCACCACGAGAAAATAGGACTCCATCGATCCTTTCAGAGCTCAAATCATCAGATATTAATCATTTATTAATCAAAGGCTCTGATTGGTTCACCTATTGCTTCCAAACATTTGGAGATGAAGACTAAACGTCACCCGAGAAACCAACTGCAGATCAATAGATGCTCAGACATCAATAATCAAACTGAGGCCTGAAGCATGTGATCATTAAAGTGGTGTTGTCCTCTCGTTCCAGCTGTCTGTGATTCTCAGATTGCTCAGACTGTAATTGTTCTTTTCATGGTTAATACAAAGGTGTCCTAAATGGTCATCACTGCAATCTGCTGCTCACCGATCAGCTCAACAACAACCAGCTCCACAGAGCTGAAACAGAGCTCAGGGTCATCTCAACGTCTCCGCCTGCCCTCATGTGGAAGCTCGCCTCCCTAAAGCCTGCCTGTGATCGCCACCTGTAGGCTGATGTCACGATGCAGATAATCATTTTAAACTTAAAGAACGCTCTTGTGTCATAACTTCATGAAATCAAAGCCAGTGTCCTCAGGGACCTGCTTTCTGTTGGACCAACAAAATCCAGATATGCTCAATAGATTTAGATCAAATGTGCATACTCTGTCACGTTTAAGAAGTTGAAACGCACGACGAGTGTCATTGAGAGAAAAATATTAGTGTTCAGTTTGAGAACCAAGTTAAAATGTGAGATTAAAGTGTCGATAAGTCAAAGCTGCCACGGCTCCTTTAGTTCATAAAAACAGCGTGATGAGTTCAAGGACGTCACAGAGGCAGTACAGAAAGCTGCGTCTGGGAAACAGCAGGATGGATGTTACAGCTCATGCCATACAGACGAGCTACGACTCATCACAGATATAAGACAGCTAACTCATTTGCAGAACAGTCCAACATTTGGACTTTAGTCTTAAAATAAACAAGTATTTTTCATTAATGCGACGCTGACATGCACACTACTTAAGAGACGCCACATTTAGAAAACTAACAACAATTCGATCACACAAACTACTTTGCACATCACTAGCACAGTTTCAGGTGTTTAAAGCTGCAGACAGACGGGTGTGACCTTCAGACTAAATTGGTATCGATCCTTTCAATATAAAAGTGTGTTCCAGGGAGTCCATCTCTCTGTCTGCTTGCTACACCCGTTGGCCCCTCACCTCCTCATGACCTCACCTTCAGCTCAGCGTTGCTCTCGGCATTCTTGAGCATGTGCAGGAGGAACTCGGCACTCTTCTTGGGCCAGCGTCCCTGGGTCCAGCCGTGCTGTTTGGCCTGAAAACAGAAAACATCAAAGGTGCTTTTAGACCATGCCTCAGAGCTCAGAGGCGGGGTAACTCTGGCCGCCTTCGCTGCTGCTCAGGTTACTAGATTTAGTTTCATCTTTAATCCAAAGGTGTCCTAAGAAGGTCATCACTGCAGCTGTCAGAGTGATGCCACGCTCGCTGGGACCTCACCTGAGCACAGCGGCCAACGCCGCCGTTGTAGCGGCGGAAGGGGACGCACTGGTGCTTGACGATGACGTCCCTCAGGTACTTGTTGGCTTTGCGAATGTGCATGCCTTTGATGGCCTGGGCCGTCTCACGGGTGTTCTGAAAGTGAGGACACAGACGGGTCAGAGACCGGATCAACAAAGTGGCACCTTTATGTCGTAACCTTCATGACATCAGCATGACGTCCAGATGTCGGGTCAGTTCTGAGGGCCTCGGCCGTCACATTAGATTTAATGAAAGTTGAATGTGTTTATAGATTTTAGGGGAGGCAAACAAACCATCAGAGAATCTCTGCGATCTGATCGATTCGACAGAAAACCAAGTCTCTTTAATCCACAGCCAAACAAACCTAGGAGCACTGCAGCCATCTTTAAAACTAGAGCTCCTCCCACTGACATAAACATTAGACCAGCAGCTCATTCAATCACAGCAGATTGTCTATTCAACATTTCTAAACACACAAAAGTTACTCAAGCCATTCACAGTAATTTATTTTTCCTGGAAAATCCTGACTTATTCACTCCTTATCCTCGGGAGCAGAGCTTTAAGTACCTGAGCTTAAATATTAACTTCAAATTATATACACAGAAATTCTATTTAATTACGGGAGGATTACACCTGTATTCAAAAGAGAGATTAAAAGTGTCACCAGTTATTTTCAGACATCTCACACATTCTGCAGCTGAAGCAGAGCTCCAAACAAACTGGGCTGTTCACAGAAACCAGGCTCATGCTGTTACCTGAAGCTCTAATGAACAGACCTCACTGAGGTTTATGCTTCAGCGAGACAACAACCTCGAAGGATATTTAACTACACATCACAGACAGCTCATAAACACCACTGACTCCTCCTGTGTGGTTTTTACATGTATCAGTGAGAGAACCATAATCACTTCTATCAGGACGATTAACCACAGCATCAATGTAAGGATCACTCAAACTGGGTGTGAGGAAGTGGAAAAACTGGGGGGGACAAACGTGTCTGCGTGAAATAAACTAACTACAGTACAGTGTTTCTATTGGCTGGGATCACAGATAGACATAATGCAAGAGTATAAAACATTTCAGTGCATCTCCCATCACTCCCGCGGCAACGAGCCATTCAGTTTCATGACTCTGAAGTAAAATCGGATCATTTTTCTCTACTGAGTCAGAGCACCATATTAACTCTGAACCCACATCCACGTGTGTTTAATGAGTTATTAGAGCCCAGATTCAGAAGCCTGCTGCTGCTCATGTAACCTACTCTGAGCCTCTACACACCTTTACACCTGAGAGAATCTACTTTAACATGGACACGCGTGAGATGACAGATGAACCCTGTGATCCCCTTTGTCTGTGCCCACATGTGGACTCTTACCTTGAAGTGCACCCGGAGGTTGGATCCCCTCGACTTGCATGCTGAAACACAGAGAGAAGCCGTTAGCACCCCCAGCAAAGACCCGGATCACTCCACCAGTGAGTGCGGCAGCTCAGTTGTGTCATTAGTTTGTTTTCATGTGGAATCCAAAGGTGTCCTAAGAGGTCATCACAGCCACCAGCTAACCCCCACACATAGCTGAAGTTCACCTTTACTCACATTTAGTCGGGTTCTCGGGGTCGAGAGAGTAGCGGACCATTGTCAGATATCTGTAAGAAGAGGCACACGTTAGTTTCCTCAGGCTAGCACACAGCAGGTAAGACCATCTTAGACAGCACCGTCTCAGGTGACGTTAAACAGATTTAAACCCCACAAACACGGAGAAAAGGAGCTGCTAGGGCCGCTTTACAACTCCTATCCACGCCACACGGAGCCAACATGGCGGACAGCCGCCGGAGCCACCAACCCGGCGTCTCCGCAAATATCTTCATAAAACTTCATTTAATGGCTCCAGACACACAATTCAACCATCAGCGCACACATTTACACACAGCTGACACGATCCAGATGCTTGCAGCGCAGGATGCAGTATTTTTACTCAGATTTAACATGGATTCTCCGCTTCGTGAGCGGGACAGAACTCCTACCTCTGAGGCCGCGGAAGGAAGAGGAAGTATCCCGGACGGCGCTCCTCTACTTCTGCCTTCCTGTGAGGGTTACCGCCCCCTGGCGGTGAGGAGGAGGAGGACGGTGCTCGGGGCGCAGTGAAGCGGAATGGACAGCAGGGGGTGGTATTTCACACACACAAAATACGCGAGAAAAATTGTTATCCCGTGGTTACGCCATGATTATGACGTAAACACGATAATAGTGATGGGAAGTTTGTCTCTTTTCAGAGAGCCAGCTCTTGTGGCTCGAATCTCAAAGAAGAGCTGGCAGTTTTGGCTCCCAAATGGCTCTTAATTTATTATCATCTGTAGCCTCATATTTGACAAATATGAATGCTCTGTGTGTTGATAAACCCTTTTGCATTTAGTGTTTTTATGAGATGCCTTATAATTGCCTAATATTGTGTATTTGTTCTGTTAGAAAAGCAGGCATTCTTACTTTTGTATAATATTTTAATCAAACTTTTGATTTTAATTCAACACAAAAACAAAGCACTGCAAACAAATCCACAGAAGAGAAACAGAACCAAACTCAGCAGCCAAACAGTATGTCCTCAGGTTGACATTCAGAATAATCAAATGCCTCAGCTTGATGAGCTGATGCAGTTTCTCATCTTAGTTAGTATCTGCTTCTTCTTTAAGCTGGAGCGAGATGCTGCTTCGTTTACAGTTGTCAGTCATATTTACATGTTTTTACGATGCACTTGGACTCTCATTCTCACCGCAGTCTACTGTCTCACTCACTGACTGAGGAATATCGATACTTCCAATACCAGCATTTCATGTTGCAGGATCAATTCCCATATGAAAAATTATAATATCTAATTTGATTAAATTAGTTTTTAATCATAAATATGACATACAGACAAAAGTCGGCAATACCCTGTTAATAAGAACTACAGTCGTCTTCTGCCTCTCATTCATGTTTTTTTTGTTTTTTTGTTTTGTTTTTTACAGCTCATTGTGTTCTACGTCCTGATTGGCTGTAGAGCATTGTCAATCAATCTCCGTGCTGTGTCGCCTGTACAGTACAGAATGTGTTTAACTTGTCAAATTTACATAAAGTGCTGTACTGTATGTTGTAAGTTTTCTCTCCAATAAACAACAATGTTGACGAAATGTGTTGCACCGTCGAAGGCAGAGGAAGATGCTAAGCATTGCACAAAAAGTTGGACTTCTGGACATGCTAACAGAATGTAGGAGTTACTGTATTTTTCAGATTATTAACTCATTCTAATCTTGCTTCCTCTACTTCCGTACCATATCGTTGCTGTTGAATTCTCTCACAGCTGCTCTGTTCCCATATTCTGGACGTGAAAACAGGGTTTGATCTTTGGTTTCATTCTGTAATACTGGACTTATTTTTCTGCGTAGGTTTGAACTTTGAGAGTGGTTAAATAAGAAAATAAGAAAAGTGTGAAAATGTTGATGCCTGTCTGAGAACAGTGTATAAAATGTGTAGTGAGGGGTTTTACAGCCTTAAAATGTAATTGTGCCCAGAATGCACTTTGTGAATGATGATAAACAGATCAAACTACCAGCGTTAGCTTCTGTTCTTCAATGTCACAGACATGAAACTGCTGTAGGTTACTCCCACTGTGATAAATCCCCCACACTGAGGCTGTGACAGGAGGAGTGAAACAGTTTTTGACATTTTAAAGGTTTTTGTGTGGATATCTACTCGACTTATGAAATGAAAAATGCTGCTAATGCTAAAGAACTGATTCTGGAACCACTCGTGTGTATTCGGAGGGCCTGAACTCAAAAAATATTCGTAGTATGAAGGTAAATCTTAGCATGACTTTATTAAAATAATGTGTCATAATGTGTTTTCCTGATTTTACTTTACTTGATTTCCCTCTAGTGGGGAAGAGAAATTATAATTAAAATTGATTCAGTGGTGGTCTTTTTTTTTTCACAAGCTGGAAACAAAATGCTTTATGAGGAATTTCAAGTGTCTGATGATTTTTCATTTTAAAAATATAAGTGCTTGTATTCACTCCAAGGACTCCTCCAGTTATCTGCAGCACAAAAATGCTCCACCCAAGAGTTCATAAATGAAGCGGTGGCACAAAAAACTGCAGTTCCTCTGATATCCAGAAGAGGCAGCAATGAGACCCATGTTGAAACTTTACAGCAGAAATAACTAGAACTCACCTGTTTAAACTGTATCAAGGCTTAAAGTTTGCATTATTGGGGGTGTGGCCTTTTGACTGACAGGTGGATGGCGACACAGCTGGTTGTAGCTGCTAGTTGACTGCTAGGCTTCTCCTGATTGAATTCTAAACTGAACTGGGCCTCTGGACCTTGTTTGTGCAGTTGTGACCTACAAACTGTACATTTACCCAGTGAAAAGGTGAAACTGTGTTTAGAGCGTGAATGAATGACATGGCCTGCAGGTATTAAAGCAGTCATTGTTTATTTGGTATTTCATGATGAACTGTGAGACGCTGGACGGAGCTACATAGAAAACCCCGTGTGCAGCCTCACAGTGAGTCATGCACATCATTGCACTGTAAAGAAAGTCAAAGCTCGAGTGACGACACCTCAGGCCAACATACAAAAATAAAGATATTATTTACAAACAACAACATTTTCCCATCAGCACGTGTCAGTGTTTTCATCAGACAGTGAAAAGAAGTTCAACATGTAGAAATCACTGTGGTTTCATTAGAAGACGCACAAATATCTGTACACGTGCCACATCCTCGGCCCGAAGGCTCATCTGCTACCTTCACATCAGTGTGTTCATCACAGTGTGTCTGAGAGCGAGTGCAGACCACAGGCTCCGAAACCTCAGCAGTCCCACACCATTGCACACCCCACACTGTGGAAATGTTTGAGCAGCTCAGTCAGAGGATCTCCACACTCAGCATTCCTGTTTCTCACGGCTGAAAAAAATCAGTTTCATCATCTTCAATTTTTTTTATTTTATTTTTTTAAATAAATTCTCTCTAAAACCTCGTTACCTGTTCAGTTCTGTTACAGTGTGTCGTGAATAATGTTTGTGTCACACGGTTAAACACTGTGATTGTGTTTATAGTTGCACACATGATAATATGTGATTGTGTGACTGTTGTTGTCCCAGCCCGAAATGTTTTAGGAGAAATATATTCACGAGATAATAACAAAAAAAGAAATGTTCAGTGAACGGCTACATGGTCCTACTAGTGCTGCTTTTTTCATGGGTTTCATGGGAGATGAACTGAACCTAATTTGATGAACATCAGAGAAGGAGAGACAGTAAAAGAAAAAATGTCCCCCTCAAAGCCCTGATGCTCTCAGAGCTTCTACAACTTTGTTTTTTTACTTATTTCATGAACTTAAGTTCATTTATTAATTAAGGTCACTAATAGGGTAAAACACGCCAGAGGAAAAATGGTTGAACTTCCTGCTGTTTTTGTCACCTGTGGTTTTAAGACTTATGCGTTTCCCCGTTAGCTCATCCCCATTCTCCCAGAGCTAACAGAGCCCATCACCAATCATTTACAATGTTTTCTAATTGTGAAACAGTAATTCTCATTATTTCTGCACAGCTAACAGTTTCTACACTGTTAGCTAGTAACCTCATTTTTAAATTGTGAATCATTAATTTTCACGATTTCTGCATTTTGAACCCATAATAGTTTTGTAATTGTTACCTTTAATTTCCATCAATTTTCTAATTGTGAAACGTTATTATCCATTTATCCCCATTGTTAGCCGTTGTTCCCACTGCTTTGCATTGTTTTCCCATTGCTTTTGTATTTTTGTATTGCTAACCATTAAATCCCACTGTTTCCCATTGGTAAGCATTATTTCCCATTATTTTCTCACAGTCATGTGTGAGTTGCTGATATTTTCCATTGTCTGTGTGAAATGAACACTTCCTGATGCTTGATACAGCGTTGATGCTGTAACTGCGTCTGTCCCATCATCACCTGAGATCTCCCGCAGAGCGCGTCGTGATCAGAGTCGCTCTGTGTCTCCAGCGGCGACCCGAACCTCAGTTTCACAGACTCCTCCCGACAAACTGTACGAAATAAGTGAAAATCCAAATGTCCTTCAGTCTTTACAGCCGTAGATTCACACAGGAGGAAGTGGGCGTTACTGTTCAGAGAGAAACGTGTGAAGCAGCGCGACTCGGTAACGGGACCGAGGAGGAGGAACCCTCATTAGATGCTACAGACTGTGTGGATCGCGTCGGGCTCACTGAAGCTCTTCAGATACCGCTCAGTGCGACGTGAAGAGGCGTCAGAGACCTGCAACACAAACAGGAAGTTAAATAGCCGCCAGGTGAAATCAAAGAGTATTTAATTCACTCGGTCTGACGGTCACGTAAAAAATGTAACTGTAGCAACGTTTACATAAAATCAAAGTAAGAAAAATAAGAAAAGCAAATAAAACTTCAAAAGGAAAAATAAACTCCAGGAACACGACAGAGTACGGTCATTGTATAAAACATATACTTTTTTATACTTTGAAATATAAAAATAATAGTAAAAAAAATTAATTTCAATTTAATTTGAATCATAAAGCTTCAAATCACAACAACAGTTAAGATAAGATAAGATAAAGACTCTACAACAATACAGTGAAGCCCCAACAATCAGACGGCCCCCTGTGACCAAGCGCTTTGGTGACAGTGGGAAGGAAAAACTCAGGTCACACTCTCCTCAGTGTAATATCACAATACAAGTAATACTTGTTCATACAGTATTATTAATTTATTTTTATTATTATTTTTTTGAAATATAAAAAATAAATAACCTGATTAAACCGAATGTTTGGTTTTACAGATTATAAAATGTGGAGGTTTTCTATCCATCGCAGTGTCCGTTGTTTTTATGGAGCTGATAAACGAAATCATTATTTTTTATTTGTATCACCTGAATGTTTGTAAACAAAAATACAAACATAACAAAACAAAAAAAGTGCATCTGGTGATCTCTGACCTTCGCTGCTGTGTTCTGTAATTACTGACGTACACGTGAAGCAGAGACCCGTCGAGCCGCTCGCTCTGACTGTGGAGGACGCGAAGTGGTGGTTGGTGGCTCAGAAAGGTGACAGACGATGGAAGCCGGAGGTCGGAGGTGGAGGCTCTGGTGACGCAGTGAAGACGAGCCAGGTCGGTGTAGATGGGTGGGCGGGGCTTCATTTGAGACAGGGGCTGAGCACGGTGGGGGTCGGGGGGTAAACGAGGGCCACGTTGACCCGCTCCGAGCCATTCTTTGGACAGACGATCTCGGTGAGGCCTTCGGGCCGCGGCTGGCTCAGCAGCTCACCTGCAACAGCGAGAACATCAAAGACGCTTTAATACAGGAAACAGGAAACAGAGGAAGTAGGACATTCCCGAAACATCACAGAGAAACCATCACACGTACAGAAAGCAGGATGCTCTGGTTTTAGGAACAGAAGAGGCAGCTGCTCTGCTGTTATCAGGGAGGAAAAGTTCTCCTCCAGCATTTCAGATATAAAACAATAAATTATCTGATGTTGGACCAGGATGCTGGGTGGACACTGATCTGCCAGTCAGACAGATCTCAAGGCAAATCCGCCTCCAGCTTCTGGAAGTTTCTCCTGTTCTCGCCTCTAGATTTGTAGTTGTTTTTTTTAATAATAAACTGCTGGCACAAATTTAAATAACTGAAGACTCACAGACATCTACAGGCAACAATAATCCTTCACACTAAACTCCATTTACTTGTCTTTAGTAAGAACCTGCAGCAGCAGAAGCTTTTATGAATTCGGCCACAAGGTGGCAGCAACGTCCAGCTGTGACTTCATGCTGCAGAGCAGAGTCCCACCAGCAGGGGGCGCCTGGTCCTCCTCTGTAAACTACAGTTTAAGGTCAGTCCTGGGTTTTGCTGCAGGTTTAGCTAGTGCACACAGCTGAGGGTCTCTGAGGTCAAAGTTCAGCCTGGATTCAGATTCAGGATAATTTTTTCCCCTCATTTTTATGTAATTTAAAAGTGCGGAGGAATAGATGTGTTTGTGTTACTGGGGTGAATTTCATGACGACGAGAGCTCTGAATTTTCTTCAAGCATGACCTGCTGATAAAGATACTTAAAAGGGGAAATGGTTATAGGAGGTGAAAGGTTAAAGGTCGAGGCAGAGATGTTTAGTTCAGTGTCTCAGCTCTCGTGCTCTGCAGGGCGTTTTTCTTCTACTCTCTCCACTGTTATTAGAACTCATAACAAGGCGAGATTTCTGTAAAGCAGTAACAGGTCTGAGCTCAGAGCTGCACACAGGCGGCTCTCTGACTTCAGTTTCCTGCAGGGCTGAACGCCGTTCCTGTGCACGTCTCCATTTATAAGGCGTCCTCATCGTTTGTGTTTCCGCTGTGGATAAAAATACGATTAAAATCACGCACACACTTCCTGTGTGATCCCTCGTGTGTTTCTCTGGCAAACAAAGAAAAGCTGCCATCTGCAGATCGACACAGCCATCCTTTTTCCTTCATCATCATTATGGCTCCCTCCTCATCGAACAGCTCAGAGCCCAGCCGGCGACTGCTTGAGGAGGTTCACGCGAGCTCCGCCGGGATTCAGTTTCTTACTCAAACCATGTTTATAAATCATTTTAATATCTTTTTCCATCCATGGAAAACTGTGTGAAAACTGGACTGGGTTAGTTTGAGCTTGTAGCCACGTGTTCTGTTTATAACTCTAAGCTGCACTTTATGAAATGATTAGCGCTCTCCATCTTTGGATGGATGTACTGATGAGGGTGGATGACGGATGACCTCAGGAAGCGTGTGACACGCCCTCCAGTACTGTTACAACTTGCCGTTCTAAAACACGTTTGAGTTGCTTTTTATTTCCCGTTTTATTTTGACAATCTCATCAGTTTCCACATTTTGAATTAGCATTCCTTATGTTCTCATAAGGAATGCTAATTCTGTTTATGTTTTTCATAATGTACTCTCCGACACTCAGCTCCACCTGGGTGTTTGTTGTTGCAGAGCGCTGATCATTCAGCCGCTAACAGAGACACGCCCAATGCATCACTCTGCTGCACGAACAACACTGAGCACGCTCCATAGCCAGTGCCTGGATTACATTCACTTCATTTTCAGGGCATCAGCAGAATAATACTGTGATCTGGCTTTATCTGACACACACACACACACACACACACACACACACACACACACACACACACACACACACACACACACCCCTAATATCCTAACCTGCAGAGAGATAATACAAGCCTCCTGCAGCTCGGGACTGAAGCCGTGAACATTTACACAAATTAAATGCCAGATGTGCTCGTGATGTTGGATGATTTGTGGCAGATGTGCACAGTGGTGACCTGCCACATTTTGAGCTGACTGATGTTGAATCTCCAGGATTTTCAGAATAATTCTTCCTGGTCAGATCAATCTGTTAATCTGGCTTTTCGTCCCAGTGTGCCTTCAGAGCAGCAGACCAGCAGGTATAACACATCATTTTGCTCTCCGGAGCAGGAAGGCCAAGGTTTCGAGCTGTGACCTTCTAGCAGCTTCCTGTCATCATTGTGAGTCACTGATATTACACAAAACTGCATCTCAAACGTTCAGCTGCAGTGAGAACCAATCATCTAGCTCCAGAGCTGAAAAGCAAAGTGATGGCTGAGGAGCCAAAACCTGCAGTTCCTCTAATATCCAGCGCGTTTTACAGAAGAAATAAACACGTCCAAGTTATTGTGAAGATTGAGAGTTTGTGTCTGTGAAGTCAAAGGAGCTTGCAAAGAAAAGCGTCTGGACTTCTTTAAGTTGCTTGAAGACGTTTCACCTCTCATCCGAGAAGCTTCTTCAGTTCTACGGTCAGATGGTGGAGAGTCCCAGATATAAACCTAGTGGGAGTTTCCCCCCACAGAGGGACAAAAGGACCCCCTGATGATCCTCTAATCGCCTGAGCCGAGGTGTGAAACTGGGTGTGGGTCCCAATCAGCCAGAGTTTCGGGTGTGTTCATTGTGAAACCTGGCCCCGGCTTATCATGCGAATTCCTGAGGTCAGATGGCCCAGGATGTGAGTGGGCGTTAAGGCGTCTGGGAAGGGATCTCAAAACTGGATTATAGATGGCAGAGAGTTGGTGTCGTAAACCACCGCCTCTGTTCAAAGATGGTCGCTCACAGTGGACATAGATGGCTTCTTTCACTCCTCTTTCAAACCATCTGTCCTCTCTGTCCAAAATGTGAACATTGGCATCCTCGAAAGAGTGTCCTTTATCCTTAAGATGCAGATGGACTGCTGAGTCTTGTCCTGTGGAGGTGGCTCTTCTGTGTTGTGCCATGCGCTTGTGAAGTAGCTGTTTGGTCTCTCCAATGTAGAGGTCTGGGCATTCCTCGCTGCACTGTACAGCATACACCACATTGTTAAGTCTGTGTTTTGGCGTTTTGTCTTTCGGGTGAACCAGTTTTTGTCTGAGTGTGTTGCTGGGTCTGAAATGCACCGGGATGTCGTGCTTGGAGAAAACTCTCCTGAGTTTTTCTGATACACCGGCTACATAGGGGATGACAATGTTGTTGCGTCTGTCTTTCTTATCCTCCCTCGCTGGTGTCTGATCTTCTTTTCTGTGCCTCTGTTTTGAGATCCCTTCCCAGACGCCTTAACACCCACTCACATCCTGGGCCATCTGACCTCAGGAATTTGCATGATAAGGTGGGGCCAGGTTTCACAATGAACTCACCCGAAACTCTGGCTGATTGGGACCCACACCCAGTTTCACACCTCGGCTCAGGGGATTAGAGGATCATCAGGGGGTCCTTTTGTCCCTCTGTGGGGGGACACTCCCACTAGGTTTATATCTGGGACTCTCCACCATTTGACCTTAGAACTGAAGAAGCTTCTCGGATGAGAGGTGAAACGTCTTCAAGTAACTTAAAGAAGTCCAGACGCTTTTCTTTGCAAGCTCCTTTGACTACGATGACCAGCTTCTTTAAGTTGCTTGAAGACCTTTCACCAAATGGTGGGGAGTCCCAGATTTAAACCTAGTGGGAGTTTCCCCCCACAGAGGGATAAAGGACCCCCTGATGATCCTCTAATCGCCTGAGCCAAGGTGTGAAACTGGGTGTGGGTCCCAATCAGCCAGGGTTTCGGGTGAGCTCATTGTGAAACCTGGCCCCACCTTATCATGCGAATTCCTGAGGTCAGATGGTCCAGGATGTGAGTGGGCGTTAAGGCCTCTGGGGAGGGAACTCAAAACTGGATTATAGATGGCAGAGAGTTGGTGTCGTAAACCCCCGCCTCTGTTCAAAGATGGTCGCTCACAGTGGACATAGATGGCTTCTTTCACTCCTGAGGAGTGATTGAGAGTTTGTGTTAAGAAACATGAGTTCACATCTTTAATGATCCTCTAAAAATCCAGCCGTAAGTATTTTACACCCAAACCAGAGTTTTTCTGGATGCAGAAACCATCAGAGTGGGTAACAAAAACCCAAAGGAGTTCCACAGGCATCTATTATCGATCCTCTGCTTTTTATTGATGTGTAAATTTTACTTTTGTTTGTCAAAGCACAAAAAGTTTCCTCCTTCATAACAACATGGAGCCTTTTGGAGCATTTTTAATGCCATCATCGAACTAAGCACGCCGCTAACTTACCTACAGGCTCCAGAACAGGTGATTATAAATCTACGGGTGGTGTCATGGGGGCTACGACTCAAAGAAATGAAGCAGATTTGTTTCCGACGGATGTTTTTACATCAGCTGCCTCCAACATCACTCACAGCCCGTCTGTCCGTCCGTCTCAGCAGCACTTAAACCATTAGGCTTATTGATCGTGTGCGTTCTCTCAAAGTGTCTGCAGCTGCTGGCTCTGCTGGCCTGAAGCCAGCAGTCACAGACACAGTCAGAGTTACGGTCAGAGACGATTATTTGTAAGGAAAAACAGCTCTATCATAACCATTTCATTAAACCCGAGTACTGCAGAGCAACCGGAAGTACTGGGATATTTTACATCTGAGTATTTCTGCAGGTCTTTGCCACCGGCTGTGTGGCTGCAGGAGCTCCTGCTCCTCAAAGTCACTTCAGCTACAGTTTGTTTCTAACCTGCTGCTGAGCTTTGCTGCCACGGCCGGAGATCAGATGTTTATTTCATCAGTGGACGCAGCTGACGGCTCACACATCCGGCTGTGTGCCCTGAATTAGGCCACAGCCTAATAACTCCTCCTCCTCCTCCTCCCTCTGACTGAGAAGAGTCACGCAGAAAGCCACAAAGACCTGATTTCAAGGAACAGGAATGTTCCTCCCCCCTCAAACACCATCAGCAGGTAGAGGAGTCATGTCCTCCCTCCTGCT